AGGGTATGAGTGGTTAAAAGAGAAATACTTGACGTATTTGACGAGAAAAAATTCCTGATAAATCGTTTGTGATTTTTGTGTGAAACTATAAATGTTGATTACTGATATTGAAATTCTAAATGACTTTTTCTGTCTTATTTATTACAATAATAATAACTTCAATAATAATACTTTAATAATACAATAATAACAAATATTAAAAACTAAAGTAATGAATGAAAAATTTTGGAATTCCTTTCACTGTAATGAGTAATATGAACGCTGATGAAATTCTATTCCATTTTAATGAAATTAATTAAAAGAAATTCGAGATTTATTAAAATAATCTTGTAATGAAAAAATAATAATAAAACTGAATCTTATTATTCAATGTATATACGTATATTTAACTATAATATATATATTATATTATAGTTATATATAATTTACATGATGCTACATAAATTTAATTTTATCGGCATTTTATTATATAAGAAATGATATGATTTTATTTCTCTTATTATTATTACATTAAATTTTGCTTTGCTTCTTTCCACTCCTATTATTGTTTAGAAATAAAATCATACGATATTGCTTTCACATTTAATTATATATCGAATAAAAATATATATGTGTATGTAACTATTGGTAAATTTTATTATTTAAAATTCGAAGGACAAAATATTACATCAGAAACATTCCACGAATTTTCAGCTATTAGCGACTCTGTATTGTTCCATTTAAAACGTAACGATTCATTAGGATCGATGGCACCTTTCCTATGAAGTAGAATCCAACTTCATATCATCAGTAACAATTGGCATCAGGCCAATGAGAAGATATAAGAAACAAATGGCGCATCTATTGCTTCGGTAATAACTAAGTTATCCGTATAACGTTTATGAAAGTCAAAAGCAAGAACAATAAAGATTTCTTATAAAATTACATTTAATCCATACCTTAATTTTGCATAACGTTTTATATATTTTTCACAAAACGTTGCAATCATATTTTATATGATAAAAAACAAGGAAAAAAATATCGTGTAATTTAAACTAATATAAATATAAATAAATTACTCAGAAATCAAACCTATTATCCATTTTTTAAAAAATTTTTAATTTTATGGCCAAGATTTAATGTTTGAGTTTTCAGAAAAATTAACCTCGATAAAGTTAACTAATAGTACCTATATGGCTTAAGTAAAATTAACCTATTCTTACATTTTATCGAGCGAAAAACTAGTCCATTATGATTTAATCTTTTTTATTTATCAGTTTCAATTCTTTTTAATAAAGTATAAATATAATGTATTTTTCTTACCTATATTTTAAAAAAAAAAATCTAAAATAATGTCTGTTCTATATAATCTACTTTGTTTTATTTTAAGTTGAAACGAATAAAAAAATCGTAATAAATTTTAAAATTATTTCTTGAGGGAAAGATAATTTATAATAACACTTTTCATTATATAAAGTACGAAAGTTAAAATGGATAATATTTTCATTTTAAGTTCTATAATCTTTTTTATTCCATTTTAGATGTAATTATAGAATTTATAAAAAGTACCTATTCCCGAATAACCCGAATTAAGAGAAATTTTGGAGCAAAATTTTCTCTTTGAGGAAGAAACTACTTGATACAAATAATCTTTTGGAAGGAAAATCCATTAAAACGTCTTTGTATTTATAGAGCACTCGAAAATACGTTCTATGATGAATGCACATACGTAAAGTATTTTACATCTAAAAAATATTCTAATGCAACATATCACATTATCGCGAAAGTATAATAAAAAAAAAATTATTCTTCAAATTTATTACGTGACGTACTCAATTATAAAATGACATGTGGTATCTTCATTTTTTCTTCAAATTCATTAAATAAAAAAAAAAAATAATGTTGGAATATAAAATCTAACACGTATAAAATAATAAAAACAATTAAAACAGATATAAAGCGATGAACAATAAAATATCTAATAGTATAAATATGATATAATGACTAAATATCTAAAAGACTAAACATAGCAAAAATTGTGTCATAAAAATATGATTTTAAAAACTACATAAACATTACAACTATTATAAAAAAGAGAAATGTTAAAATATTAAAAAATATATAATTTTTTCTAAAATATAAATATATAGATGAAAAATATATTCTCTCATTACACATCGCTAAAAATACACAAAATACACTTATATTTTTTTACTTCCAAAACAAAAATACGAAAATTTTTCGTTACACTTTGTCAATCACTATTTTACTATATTTTAAAAATAAAAATTAAACGATTTTTAAATATTAATCACTTCAAGAACTCTATACATTTCTTATCTCATACATCGCTAAAAATACACAAAATACACTTATATTTTTTTACTTCCCAAAACAAAAATACGAAAATTTTTCGTTAAACTTTGTCAATCACTATTTTACTATATATTTTAAAAATAAAAATTAAACGATTTTTAAATATTAATCACTTCAAGAACTCTATACATTTCTTATCTCATACCACTTCGATCTCGATCTTTTCCGAATATTCTTAAGATTTTCCAGTATCTCATTATATTGAACTTGATCGTATGAGTTTAATATTTGCTCGGTCAACAAATCCATCGAAGAAAAACACACGTGACGTCTAAGTGATCATCGAGACGGGGAAATCGATGTGATAAGCTTTCTTTATTATCTACAACAGGTCCACACCAGCGGCCGACTGGTCGCAATTAAGTTCAAGGGCGAATTCCATCATCAAGAATTTACTCTAACTTTTCAGAAAACATGTGCACATAGCCGCTGTATACACGACCCTCCACGGCAGTGAGTTACGAGGGGGATGAAAAGTAGGGCGAGCCATCGTAAAAGAAGTGGCGGCCAAGTTGCATTTCACCTGCTATCTGCCAGCGTTAAGGTTCGCTACTGCAATTTCGTGTATTTATTGGAAACTCCTTTACTCAGTCGCTCGATCGAGTCGAGGGAAACGTATGTGCCGCAACGTTTTTTTCATCCTTTCACGTTCCAACCGAATTTCCATTTCTTCTCGCCATATATGATCACTCGATAGATTGGATTTTTTAATTAGTATTAAAATTTATGAATAGTAAGATCTACGAAAAAAAGAATGGAAGAATAACAGGGAATAGGCAACGTGAGTTTATTTATCGTTAGAGGATTGATTACGGTGAGAAGTAGCACGTTCGTCACAGGATTTCGCGCGAATCGAAGCTCTTGAAGTGTTTTATCGAATGAGAGTGAATTTATCACTGACTATGTTATCTATAAACATGAAATGACGTAGAATAGGCTGTAATAATTTGTTATATCGCATTTAAAATATAATATAAAGTTTCGGGGCGATCTGGAATTCCAGGTATTTTATTATCGAGCTCGTTTCATGCGTTACTTATATTTTTATTGCATTTCATCGAGATTTGCGTGATTTCGAAAATTTAAAATAAAATAAAATAAATTTAAAAAAAAGTTGGACATAGAGTAAAATATTGAATATTGATTTAAATTGATATTAAATAACTAAAGGATTTTATTCTAAAATTACGTTCTTCTATTTTTTTCATATAATATATTTCGATTTTTTTCAATTTTACGGATGATAAATAAAAATTTTATACTTTTTTGTTTAATATTTTATTCTTAAGATAAGAACGAATATTTATGAATATTTGAGACAATCTTTTTTTTTTTATGAAATGAAAATACAAAAAATCATAAAAATTATTAAATAAAGTTAATTGGCTACATCTCTGCTTACATATTAAAAAATAAATCATATGATGTTTTGTATATTATTATTGTTTATATAGTTACATAACTCAATAAACATATAAATAAACGAAAATTATTTAAATTATATAAATTTTCGTGTTTCACAATATCCATAAAAAATAAAAAGATTCTAAATTATATGAAGTAAAATACAAAGACAAACTATTCCATGAATTTTGAACTTTTACTTTTGTAGCGTATATAAAGTCTATGTATAAAACTTTAATATAAAGTAATAAAAAAGCAAAAAAAAAAGTTTGTATTTTAAGAGAATGAAAATATTTAAAAAAAATTAAAAAAGTTATTTTTCCATGATTTTATTTTATAGAAATTTTGTAGTTTTGTATGACTTATTGAGTTTAAAATAATGTTTGATGATAAAACTTTTTATTTTATATATATTTTTCTAAATGAAAGAAACATACTATAAAGTATGTTAATGATGTCACGTTTATGTAATAGTTTTATCATTATTACTGGTATCTTTATCAATATTTTTTATATCTCATCATAAGTTAGTTTCTATTTGTAGAATGAAACTTTTAAAAATATATAAGTATTTTTATTTTATATCATTTTATTAATTTAAAATTAACTTTATTTCGTGACATCAATATACTATCTAAGTCAGAACATAAGATATCCTAAAATGTATTTAAATATTCATATGACTAATCAACTGTTATAATTACATGAAAATGAATAAAAGAAATATAATAATATTTTATATATATGCATATATGACTTGCATAAATAAAAAAGAAATTTGTATTTGCATTAAAAGAATGAGTTACATTGCTAAATAACCTATGAAAACTTGAAATAAAACTTGCATGGATTGCACGTAGATCAGTTTTCTTATTCAATACACATCTTTTTCTTGCTTTTGCATTGTTACTTACCCATTCGCCCCTAGTCAACAAATATACGTCATCGTTCGTACACGCGGTGCATGCTTACGCGCGCGCAACCAACCCCGGATTCAATACGTGCACGCATAACCTAAGCTATACACACGCTACGCATATCAAATAGCCACGCATACAAGCATTCACGTTTAACTGTCAAAGTACTATATTCCTCTCACCGTTGTACAGTATCTTACATCCCTTTCACCCCTCCTTTCAAGCTGATTCGCATTTTGACACTTGCCCCCTCCCTTTCATTCAGTATGACTCACACCCGTATAACGCAGCTGTCTTATTCTTTCTCACGGATTCGTTACTCACTTGCCGATAATCTCGCAGAGCTCGTAAACCTCATCGAAGAGAACCTCGTCGTCCGCCATAATAGCGACGAGGAGGTCGAAGAAGTCGACCGAACGAGGATGATATACGCGCCAAAAGGCGCGTCAAAGCTATGCGAATTCGTAATAATTCGTAAGGTGTGCAGATATACGTCTTTCTCCTCTCGTAGCCTAAGCCGACGGAGCTGTTGTGTTTCGTGTCGTGCCGTGTGGAATACGCGGCGGCGTGAACGTAGCCGCGTATCGTGGATTCACGGCCGCCTTCGTTCTCCCACCCTCCTCACTCCTTCTATCTCTCTCTTCCACCGACAGCAACGTATTCGTTTTCCTCTACGCGCACGTTACGCACATACACACATATATATGTACACAGCCATGGATAATACACCCGTGTAGCACGCCCGATTATCGTTGCACTGGCACTCTGCGATCAGTACACGCGAGTCTACAACCGTATAGCTGAGTTATATTATTAAACCGTATGTAATATTTTCCACGATGGCAAGGGTGCCCAATACACAATCGACGCCTTTAAGCTTTGCTTTACTATCGCCGGCAAAGACAGCATACACAACTAACGACAATACGTAATACAGACGATTACACGGTCGTATCCTGACTCAAGCACGAAGAAAACCGGATCTGGCCGAATCGGTTGCTTCTATGGAGCAGTCGGTCGTAGAATTAACAAGACCGATCAGTGAGAAGCGGCCAGACAGACACTGATGTCACTACACACACTTTCCTCGTCTGTCAAAGGCTGGAGCAGTAGATTCACTCGCTCCGAAGCAAGACTGGTTGCATAAAACGCGGCGAGCGACTGCGCCAACTGACTATCTCCCCTCTAATTCCCCCAACTACTGCTCCATATGGCGGGGCGGGCGTGGCGCCGCTTCGCGTGCAACCTTTAGTGCTTAAACATATTCTATCTTTTGCTTGTTAATCTCCCTAGCAATATTTGCCAATCGTATGAGAACGCTATTGTGGAGCATACTGCAATACTGCAATACTCGATGATATTCAAATTCTATACATAAGACATAGATTACATTCATGACAGCTCTTATGATAAATAATATAATTTATCAACGGAGCAATACATATGGAATTTTTAATGAAACCTAAATAAAAATAATAGAATTTATATAAAATTTATAATTACAATATACAGAAAAATAAACTATACGAATGATCATAATCTATCAAGATGAGACATGATATATCATAAAATCATCATTTATAATCTGAAATACCGACTTCGAAAAAAGAAGACAAGTAAATCACAAATTATATACGAAAATATTTTTTATCTAGTTATATTTGGAATCTCATATTCTAAAATCCCGATATCATATATAAAAGATAAAAGAGTATTGATAATGACTACAATTTACAAAAAAAAAATGATAAAAAAGATATAGAAAAAAAATATATAAGACAAAAAGAAATATTTATTATATTAAAAAAACGAAAAATAAAAAAAATAAAATATGTACATCCTTAAAAATCTAAAAAATTTTGAAACGAAATTTTATGCAAAATAAAACTAAACAATAAACTATAAAAACAGCATACTGAAAAAAAAATGAATCTGACAAAAAATGAACATAATTAGTCAATATAATCTGATTTTAAAAAATCATATTATTATAAATGAATATAAATGAATATATAATGAATAATATTCTACATTAACATTAGGTTTGCAAAACATTCAATCATTGATCGTTTTGCAAAACAAATAGCAAAAGAAGTTCCAAGAAAAATTTAGGCTAAACTAGTAAAATAAAAATCAAATTATACAAAAGAATAATTATAAATCAAAATTGATCAGCAGTGCCATCTCTCGAAGAACACA